GTCTATAGGTACATTATCAGTACGTTTCTCTCGGTTTTAACAACACTTTTTTTGCAACACACCTCCATAAAAATGTCATTGACAAAGACGACTGCAATGTCTTCCACTAGTCTTCCATTGTCTTTCACTGCCTTTCACTGTCTAACACTGTCTTCTACCGTCTTCAACCGTCTTCCATCGTCTTTCACCGTCTTCTTCTGTCAACCACCGTCTTCCACTGTCTACCACTGTTTTCCTCCGTCTTCCACCGTCTGCCATCGTCTGCCATCGTCTGCCATCGTCTTCCACCGTCTTCCACTGTCTTCCACTGTCTTCCATTGTCTCCCACTCTTCGCCTGTCTTCCACGTACTGTCTTCAACTGTCTTCCACTTGTCTTCCACTTGTCTTCCACCGTCTGCCACCGTCTGCCACCGTCTGCCACCGTCTTCCACTGTTTCCACTGTCTTCCACCATCTTCCACCGTCTACCACCGTCTGCCACTGTCTTCCACTGTCTTCCATTGTCTTCCATTTTCTTCCATTGTCTTCCACTATCTTCGCCTGTCTTCAACTGTCTTCCACTTGTCTTCCACTTGTCTTCCACTGTCAACCACCGTCTTCCACTATCGTCCACTATCTTCCACTGTCTTCCACTCTCCCGTTATATTACCCTAATCTTTCCTTTACTGCGTCGGGAAGCAGGAGATAACATCCAAATTTCAAACTTTTCTGGAGGAGCATAAATTAAATCCCCGAAACCTCCCCCTCTTGCAAGGTGTGTCTTCGACACTCGGGCTCTTTTCACAGTTGTTGTTTGTTTCTTCAACTTCAATGAAAATTTATACTCCGCATCAGTCTTCCACTTCTTTGAATATCACACCTGGGGTTGGGAAAAAGTCGTGCCCCACAGGTGCTTTTACTAAGGAGAGAGAGAAATCACAGTTTCTCTTTGCACCAGGTATCCGCGTCAAAAACTGCAGAGGAATAATACTTTTTTTCGGAAATCGAGCCCGAGGGGAGGAATTTGTTCCGGTGGTGGAAACCAGACTCTTGGTGTCACAAACAGGTTGCGAGCTTGAGAGGGCCTGGGGGAACGGACTACGTGAGGCACGTGCGATAATGATGCGTTGTAGTTTTTACCTCAGTCGGTCAGAGTTCTGCTCATTTATGTAAGGACCTCGTCAAGAGACACAGTCTGAGATGAGACAGAGTTTAAATTATTTACCAATCGACAACGCGGGTTCTTAGGCAGTGGCCCGGGTCAAAGTTGCTGGGCGGCACTTAGGGCTCATTTGCTGAATGGGCTATATCCATGCATTTTTAAACATTTTGTTGCCTTCTCCAAATTCTGAGTGGGGGACACAAGGAGGTGGCGCACAGGTCTCTAGGGAGGGGGCGTTCCTCACTTAGCTAGGCCTACGCCACTGTTCTTGCGAGGTCTTTGATCAGTTCATGGAGTTGAAAAGACAACTTGGCACAGAATGTATGTTTGAATAGGAGGGTTTAATGTCTTCTTGTGAGATATTAGTAAGGTGCTGGTGTATGGACCCATATGAACAGAGGATGGGCTGTGCCTGTGGTGGGTGTCATTATTTGCGTCACAATCACAATTGCGTCTCAAAAGTTACACTTGCGACATCACAATGTCAACGCTATCAGCTAAACTGCCTTCCATCACCCACCATTTCATTAAACCATCAACGCTTCTCATCATTGCGATGGTCCGTTATTACAGCATCCACATTGGCCGAAATGCTAGCATTCATTGTTTTTCCCCGATAGATCAGATACACTTGAACACCTGTGTGTCCTTAAAACCACCCCTAATTCACCTTCAACTTGGTAGCCCGAGCTGGTTAGCTGGTAACCACAAAGCCTGCCCAGATTATTTGCATAGTTCGGGGATTATCTGGGTTAATTGCTCGTGGGTAACCACATGCTCGAAACCACAATGTCAACATCGGATCTGGATGGCCATATAACGGTTCTCGAAAGCACGGCATTATCAGTAGGTAAAGTTTGATATCAAATTTGTAGGACCTGATAGTCATTGAGGATTTTTTTTACTGATTCAGTTTTATCATGCAATAAGATTTTATCAGATTTAATCTGACTTTGGCGCACACAAATCCATACTTTGTGCGTGCTCAACACGTAGGCCTCAAACGAAATGCGAAACTTTACAATGCGGGTTTAAAAAAAAACCTCAATTTTAATTGCCTTAGATTTATTCGATGTTCTTGCACAAAACTATGCATGCTTCCTTTGGCACAGACGGATCGAAATAAGTAACTGGCCACTTAAATGGATTCTTATAGCAATCCTTGTTTTGCCAGTTTAACCTCGCTTTGGAGATTCGCACAGCATGTAGCCGCATTGGTTAAACGCAATTCACATCTTGATTTTCTTGCCGATGATGCGGTCCCCGTGTCTTCGCTCCATCTTTACGGTATACGTGACTGTTTCATTCTTGTCCTTATTAAATTACACCAATTACAGTGAACAGAAACACAGTTCACCTTGTTAGCGCTAATCGGATTCGGGGCGAGGTCGTTAAACCTCTGCAGCTTCGTCACGCGAGGTTTAATGGCCAATATTATAGAAGCTCTGGATTATGAAATTCGTAAAATAAAAGAGTATCTGCCCAGCTCTGGTGCTGCTGTGTCTGGCCGTGAGGCACGGGCATAGTTGAGTGTACTTGGCAGTTGTTGCGTGCTGCCTCACAGTTAGTAGTGTATTGTATCGTCAGTCGCGACAATGGGATATTGTCAGGAAAGATCATGGGGGATTTGTTGCGCCACATCGGGCCATTGTGTGTCCCCTTCACCCTCGGATATCACGACTGCATTACAGGGTGAGAACCAAGCGCTCCATTGTCACCGCTTCCCCCTCGAACACAGGGCCCGACGATATATCAATATCACCCCCAGCGAAAAGCCGCATTATCCAAACGACAATTTTTGCACAAAGGTTGACCACTCCGGTATTATTTTCTCCTTTCTTGGGGTGACAATGGGGCAAAGTTGTGGAATAATGGAACCCCGGTAACAAAACCTCGGCTATTGTGTGCTGGGAGAATGCAGGATAATGGAAGGCCGGCTTTTGGCGGTAAAGGTTAGAGAAGGAAAAAAAGGCAAACAATACGGATTTTGGTAATGTGCCAAACAAAGTGCAACGAGTGCCTTATTGAAGTGAGTTTCATACCTGTTTAAAAGGCAAAATGAAACCGACATAATACTTGAAGTCTGGGGAGACGAATAACGAACGAGTGAGGGGTATTTCTGTTTTTCTGATTTGTTCATTTTCTTCAACCCCCATATTTTGGTGCTTTAACATCATCTCTATGGTTTTAATATACGAAACCGCATACTGTTGTGCTATTTCAACTCTTCACGCCCGCTCTTAATTTAAAAGGGTGAAAAGCCATTTGTCCACCATATGGCTCTTTAAAAGAGTGGACATATTTCACTCTTTTAGAATCGTGTTTCACTACTATGGCCCATAATGAAAGAAAAACAGTCTTTTTTTTTAGCAGTAAGTTAGTCATTCAAACTGTACAAATATCAACATTGAATCTGTCAACCACTACGTAGAGTATGGGTATGTAATATTACCGAGACTATAATATATTAGATCCAATACTACATGTACTACATGTAGTGTCTAGTAACACGGGACAGTATCTAAGAGCATCCAACATATGTACACACGCGTAAGCCATTACAACACACTGTTATTTTGGTTGTGTACTATATGAACCTAGCAACCAGTTGTGTAAAAAAAATGAACAAGTTGTGTAATATTTTACACAAGTTGTGTAAACAACAGTTTACACAACACGTTGCTAGGTTCATATAGTACACAACCGTTTGATTTTTACACAACCGAAATAACAGTGCAGTAATAGTTCCTGATTCTAGGGCAGTGATAAGCCTATGGCAATCGTGGGTATCTTGAGGGTTATATCTTGAGGGTTATATCTTGAGGGTTATATCTTGAGGGTTATATCTTGAGGGGGATGAGGGTATCTTGCTCCTCGGTTTGACTGTCAATATTCAGCTGATGTCTTGTGATGATCAAAAAAAACAAACAACCCACAATAAACCCGAGTTCTTAGGGTGTGGGGGAAACCATTGGAGGATTCAGACTGTTCCAGGATAACCCTATTTTAAATAGCTATTATTACCAGATTAACCCTTCCCAACAGTCAAAGTAGTGGCCAACGTGTGAGGGTCCTCTGTGCACAAAATCCATCCCGCCGCCAGGCCAAAAATATTGGGCAGCAAATATTGACCTGTATAATAACTCTGTCACGTTCACAGCCCTCGGACTAATTTATCTCATGGTAAATAGCTCAGTCTATAGATTAGAAGTCGTGCATCTGTAAGTTCGTTTTGAGATACAGGTCAATGGTTAAAGTTCGAGGTTTATATCATGAAAACGTGTCCCGTCTGTTGGTTTTTTTTTTGCCTGAGCAGGCAACACGTACATGTACATGTACATTGCGATTTTATTGCAGGGGGCAAGGTGACGTCTTAATTTGCTCTCCCTATATGCAGCCCATAAATCAGTGAGGTTAAAAGGTTGTCGTGTCGAACTTGACACATTTGGCACAGATAGGTCAGGAGACGACGGCGACCTCGGAGGTCAGGGGTCACTTGAAGGTCAGGGGAAAGTTTCCTTTCCAAACAGTAAAAAATATTTGTATACACAAGGTGCGTGCTTGACAGTGAGTGCACGTGAGCTTGATTGCAAACATCGTGAGCATCTTAACCGTGTTTCTGTGCAGTTAGAGAAACAAATTATCCGATTTGATTTCTGGTAATCTTCGGGAGAATCGATGCAGATTCCGTCCATATCCATCTAAGATATTGTCAAGTAAAATTATTGCTTGAAAAATGGAATTACGGAAGTGGTACAGTACCTCATGCATGATCCAGGGGCGTACATTAAGAAGCCAAAAGGGAGACTTGACGCAGGCACAGGAGGAACAGGTTTAAATGCCAAAAGAGAAAGTTTACATTTTGAACCTTCATTTTAAGCTTACTCATAACGACATGACGTGGGGCCAGTCGTATTTGGTTTTTGTTTCAAAGGGGATGCTATTATTTTGATTATGGTGTAGGTGCTGAAATAAAATTTAAAAATCAGTGTTTGGGGTAAAACCCCAAACACTGATTTTTTTTCCAATCTTGCACAATGGTAATTTGCTGGGACTTCAGGTTGCATTTTTTTGTCAATTACGCCTACAAAAAAAAGTGCAACACTATTTTTTCCCACCATAGTGTTTGTAGCAATGGTACGGCTAAAGTGTGAATGAATACCTTGATTGCGTTTCTAGGTACCTGCTTTAATGGCCGGCCTTCATGGCTAGCTAAACTCTTTCATCCAGCTCCAAATCTCTGAGCACGGGCATCTGCGCCCACCCCCACTTTTTAACAATAGGACAGTAGTTTCCGGCCAAACAATTGTACCTGTGCCGAAGCTTGAATCCCTCCGCCGCGGCCTGGCCCCTTTTTATGCCACTCATCTGCACACGCCAACTTTTCAGGGAGTAAATTAAATTATGCCGGCTACTTTATCTGGTTTGGAGCAAGAGCGTTCACGGGGAGGAGTTCTTGAGAAAACCTCGATAGCCATTAGCGTGTTCACTGGATGAGGCTATCGAGCTGTGGAGACTTTGTGTATTATAATTAGCTGAACTACTTGACGCGGCGGCTGGTTTTGTCGAGGGGTGTACGAGGGACCCCACCAGCACTACCGCTCTCTGCTCTCTATCCCTCGTCGCTAGAGCTCTGATAGCGTGCGTTGTGCGCGACTTCACACGAAAGGGAGGCAGCATAACAATAGCGCGGTCGGAGGACGTTGCACGCGAACACGACAATAGGTTGATATACACTCGTGTTCCGGTTCTGCATATAGCGTGCCGTTCTCGACGAGCTTATCACGGAATATAGCGTGTGTGAATCTTCGATGAATTAGGGTCAAAGTACTCAGTGGAGCTGCGCTGTTGTATTGCGCTGTGATTGGCCTGGAGTGTAAATAGTATATAAGGCAGTCGGCCGAGACGATACATGTCACAGATGACTCTGAGCAGAGCTTGGTATCACAAGTTGCAAGACACTGCAATAAATTAAAGTCGAGTTGACTCTTAGTCGTTTTTGGTTGAGACAATCCTGTTTGAACCATGTTGATTGCAACCGGACAGGCCGTCATGGCACACCTCATGCCAGAGGGGCCATCGACTGTTACCTGGGCAACTATTGTTCTCAGCATCTTCCTCATCATCCTCATCACGGAGGAGATAAGACGCTTCTTGGTGAGCAGCTCCAGGGAGCACGGGTCCTCTTCCAAGGGACTGAAGGTGCTCCCCGGCCCTTGGGGTCTACCCTTGCTTGGTAACATCCTCCAGCTGGGGACTGCTCCTCACGTCACCCTCAAGGAGATGGCTCGCAAGTACGGTGACGTCTTCCAGATTCGCATCGGTAGCCGTCCGGTGGTGGTCTTGAACGGCTACCAGGCCATCCGCCAAGCCCTGGTCAAGCAGTCCATCGACTTCGCGGGCAGGCCAGACCTGTCCTCCACAAGGTCCATCCAGGACATCTTCGGAAGCACCTTGGCTTTTTCCACTCACGGCGAGGGCTGGAAACTACAACGTAAGATAACACATTCCACCCTGCGTCACTTCACCTCCGGGAGCCAGCTGAGTTCGGTAGGAGCGAGAATCAGCAGGGAGGCTTTGGATTTGATTGAAGCTTGGACATCCCAACCTGAAAAGAACAACAGTGTCAGCGAAGGTGTTCAAAGCAAGCGCCACCCCTTCAACATCTTGAAGCTGTCCGTCAGCAATGTCATGTACTCTTACATCTTCGGCAGGCGCCATACCCTCGACGACCAGAAACTGTTGGACTTTATTGACATGAGTGATGCTTTCTCCGAAGCCATCGGTACAGGCAACCCAGCTGACTTCATGCCGTGGCTGCGGCATTTCTCCGGAAGAATCCACGACAGGTTCGTACGGATGCTGCGCGAGTACAAAGACTGGTTCGGCAAGGACATTGCCGACCACATCCACAAGTACGAGGAAGATTCGGAGGCGAACATTCTGGACTATCTGATCACCGTCTGTCGGAGGACAGATCAGGAGAAGATGGAACGCCTGGGTCTGAGCGAAGAGATCATCACCAGCAGCGTGCATGACATGTTTGGTGCGGGCTTTGATACCATGTCTGCCGCGCTGAAATGGGCCGTAGCGTTGATGATCATCCACCCCGACGTTCAGCGCGAACTGCAGGCAGAGATTGACGCTGTCATCGGTCGCGATCGCTACCCTGCCACGTCCGATCGTGGACGTTTGCCCCTCACCGAGTCCTGTCTCCTCGAGGTGTTCCGCTACTCCTCCATGATACCCATGACTATCCCACACAGCACCACCAAAGACACTGAACTGAACGGGTACTTCATCCCTAAGGACACAGTGGTGTTTGTCAATCTTCATTCCATGCACCACGACGAAAACAGATGGGAGAAACCGGAGGAGTTCAACCCTCGTCGCTTCCTGACCGAAGACGGCTCCAGATTGGATCCTGCCAAGACCGTCGACGTCATGCCCTTCGGTGCAGGTAAGCGGCGGTGCATCGGCTCAGAACTGGCCAGGTTGGAATTCTTCTTGTACTTCACAACCCTGATGCACCAGTGCAACCTTGCAGCTGCTGACGGAGTAACGCCCAAGATGCAGCACAGTCCCGGTCTCGTGCAGACGCCCCTGCCGTTCAGCATGACCGTTCGCAAACGGGACGAGAACCGTGAACCTTGAAGAACTCATAAAACATTACTCAGGTTGAAATGAATTGCTTAAACGGTATATTGTTTTGAAGATTACTGTGAAGAATCTGCGATGAACATTCGTGGTGAGTAGCAGGTGAAAAAAGGTTAACGGATCAAAAGAATGTGGAAGAGAGTATGAAGAATATGAAATGGTTTTGTCTACTTATAAATCAATGACTGTATTTTCTACATGATACAATTTAAAGTTCATACCATTCGAACTTACGATTTATTACCTAGTTGAAGCTTATCAGTCTTGTGCACATGCGGCAGATTGTTTTCGGTACGAGCATAACAAGTATTCAATTCATGCTGTACATTTGCAATTTTCTGCTTCAGTTTGAAACTGTGATGTAAGAATCAAAACAAACGGGAAGCTTTCTAAATGAAGATTATGGTATAAGTACGCAGTTTGCAGCTGTTTGTTATTTTTGGATAAGACTACAATTGTTTTTTTTTTGTGTTTTTTTTTAAGTGTTTCTTGACAATTGGAAGAGTTATGTGAACAAATCTTCAGTATCGACTCGTTTCGTAGGTTGGTATTCCCAAGTGGGGGAGGAAACTGTAGCCTACCCTAACTTCAGTCACCAACGTGGTTCAATGATGATTCACACTGAGAAAACTTGAAATGAAATTTAAGGTTGTGCCTTATTAAATTTATGAATAAGTGTTGATGTCATCTGACAATTTCGGTGTACTTCATTTAATATTATGGTTCAGGTTGTGGTATTCGGTCATACCTTTTTTTTAAGGGGGAAGATTTCTATTATTTCGAAATTCAGTTTCAAAACAGATGTGTTGAACACGGAAACGGTTCTTTTTCATGGAAATTGTAGCTCGGCAATAAGCAAGTTAAAGCGAGCAATTTTGATTAAAATAGATTTTTTTTAATTTAAGTTCAGACTATTTTGGGTCAAATTGCCCCCAACGTCAACATTTTTATAATGGATTCGTCATAACAGTGTAAATATTGGCTATAACATTAACTTAGCCGGAAATTGTATTCTCAGGGCTATACAGGGTGAGTAAAATAAACGAAACCCAAATGTTGGGACCATTGTTTCCGTAACTTGAAAAGTACATTGGTGATTTGAATCATTCTTGTACTGAAAGAAAGCTTATGAATTGGGCTATCATATACTAGATTTTGAAAGTGCTACATGCAGAACTTCAATAAAACAATAGTCCCGACATTTGGGTTTCGTGTTTTTTTTACTCGCCCTGTATACTTTTGTATTTTTAATACACCTCACCCAGTTGACAAAAGGTCGAAATGCTGAGCAGTTTGTCATCAGGGCCTACATTTGGAGTTGTATATCCTTGTTTAGAAAATAAGTAATAAAATTATACTTAGAACGTAACAAAGGTTGTAAATATAGTTTTTTTACGCACCCTGAAAAGCGAAATAGTCTATAAATTTTGGATCGTCATGTACAGAATGGATAATTCTCAGATTCTTTAAAGAAATTATAGTATTATTGTGTGATGCAGCTTGATTTTTTTTTTTCAGTTGTAATCGGCGGAATAGAAGTTGAAATTTTGATTCGTTATGTAAAGTTCAGTTGTGATCATTACAAATTAGTTGTGTACGCTGGCGTTTAAACTCCGAACAATGAGAATATTTTTGTTTTGCATAATTTTTAAACATTTGTATATCAATGAGCTTACACTTTTGTTACTTTTACATCATAATCTCATACAGTAAATGTTTCCATTGTGTAAAAATTATATTCGAATACTTGCACTTTTGAAGCTTGAGTTATGTAGTGAATTATGTTAAGAATAAAGACATGGTTTGTATTCACGATTTGAAATCATTCTTACTCATCTCGGCTCGGACTCAATCTTGGATTTGGAGTTTAAATTCAAAGAAACATGATCAACCATTCCTTCTTGTAGAAACTGTCTCTTTTAAAACAGAAGGAGAGTTCTCGGTTATGGATGATGAAGTCATAATTTTAAAGCATCTCGCAACATCTTTAATTTGTTTGCTTGTGACGGGAGGGGGATATAGGCCCTACGCATCGATAGGATTTTAAAACAAAACTAGGGTCAATGCGTTTTGGTTATCGAACCCATACTTTATTTACAATTAGAAGAGTATCTCCAATTGAAATGCACAGATGCACTGTTTTGTTCCTTCAATTTCCTGGCCCTGCAGACAAAATTATTAACAGTCAATAATTTTAACATTTCTGGCATCTGTGTTCCGCTTGTTTTCGAAATCTTTACTGTCTGTTCCACGCAAATATTTTGGTCCACACCCTGTTCTTTACAACGGACAAGGGTCTCCCTGCCTTTAGGGGATCTTAACATCCCAACTTCTTTCCCCACCATAAGGCCTTTGCATCCATTTTTTTTTTAACTGGATAGCCCATTCAGTGGAATCCAATGGTCTCCCATGGGGCCCAGTAAAGAGAAGACAATGTGGAGAAATTACAGTTTTAGATGTGGGAGGAAAACCCCAGAATAGAACATCCTAAGGAAAACCCAGGGAATCAGGCAGGGACTGAAAACCCAATCCACATATTGGCCCAGGCAGGAATCGAACCCGGGTCACAGCGGTGGAAGGCAAAGAAAGTACCGCTACGCCAACCTGACTCCCCGATCCTGGTCTTGTACTTTCCTGCCCCCCCCCCACCCACCTTTTCCCCGCCCCTTCACCGGGTCTCTGTTATCGTGGTACCGTACCTCTCAAAAAAGTACAGCACTCTCATTGTGATATTAGCCATTTAATATCATGTGCCTCGACAGGCTAATAAGGGACAGCAGCTGTGATTGGCGGACATCGCCATTACGTAGTAGGTAACTTGGTGGGGGCGTGTCAGTGGGCGTGGCCATGCCGGTATTAAAGAGGGCATTCTGCAAACTACAACAGGCGCATGATACAAGATAATATCAGAATTTGGTAGTTAGGATCATTTCTTCTGTTTTATATTTCATAGTTGAAGCAAGTGCAGCATCTTGTTTAAATTTCCCCCCGTAAAATTATTCAAATAAGTGACTCAAATTCACGATCGCACGATTGAACTGTCCTATCTCATCTTCCCACATCTTTTTGTTTGATCTACCGCCAAAATCATGATTATAAAAAAAAAATCGTGAACCCCTGAAACTCCCAAGAGCGATAATCGGACCGGTCTGCCCTTACAGCTTTACCCAGGTCCAGACCCGGACGTACTTTGGTGTGGACCCGATGTTCTTTTTTCGTTCCTCTTTTATTTTCTTGTACACACACATGTCTATTTACTCGGGCCGCAACAGTCACGCGAACTCGACGGAATTGGGGTACCGGATACCGACGGCTGATGGGTGTCGGGTTCCGCTTTGTGACGATCGTGAAACGCGAGCATGTTTTTAAAGAGAAAGCAGTGTCAAACGGTACCGGCATTATCTTGGTGATTAGCGACTTAGTGAGTAATTCGGTTTTAGTTTAAGAAGTGCAGAAAATCGGGAAAAATCATTTTGAACAGTGAGCTACATTTAATTTGGTTTTGTTCCTTTAACAAGTCTATTTCCAAGTATTGCAGTAATCGATTGGTATTGAAATGAAGGTTGTGTAAAACCTGAAAGGCATTATTGTACTAATTTATCTCAAAAATTACTGTACTTAATTGTTGGTCGTAAGACTTAATGTTTGATATTTACTCTTCCGTAAAGACTTCCCATCTCTTTCTCTGGGAGACTTCTTCTTCAACAGCTTGGGATCTTTACATTAAAAAAAAATCCACATTTTAATTGACATCGCAGCCGGTCATTTTCAAGGTGGGAGATGTTCATAAAACAGCCGTTGATTTTGGGCGTGATTACTCGGCTCTGAGATAGATGGAGGGGTGGTCGATTCTACCTGTGTGCCGACGTCTGTTTGCGGGGGAAGGTCAATCAGGGCTGGCCCCCGCCTCATCTGCCGTCATAGGTTAGCGCACTAGCTACGCAGTTCCCCATTCGATCAACGGGGTCTGAACGGCGCGGAAGTTTGCTGCACCCCACTCGTTCGCGCTCTGGAGCGAGACCAGCTTTCGTGTTATCCCTTTTGTTCGCTTCTCACGCAAACCCAGAACTGGGGCCATTGTAATCGGGCCTTTATCGAAACTCTTTTGAAAGAAAACACTGATAAAAAAATTGTTACCTGTTTTATGAGCACAATCAATATCGCGTGCGACGCAAAGGTCCTTCGATATTTTTTTTCTTCTTTTTACATAAAGAACGGAGCGTTTTGAAAGAAAAGCAATAAAACATGCCAGAAAGGAGAAACACAACTGCGTCCTTATTTCGGAAGTGGAGTGAATTCCCGGTGGGAACGATTCGGTGGGCCGTACAAAGCTCCAGGATGTACTGCTGCCACGCGATGTCATTTCAAACCTATACGGCATGTACATCATTCTCTGCCCTTTGAGTACTCCCTCGATTGTCACATTCTCATGAAGTTTTGTAGGCCTACTTGATTTCCTAATCATTTTTTATAAATTACTTTCAGCGTTGAACACTTGTATATAAAAGTTATACGTTTTTAATCTGAACTGTAAATGTTTTATGCTTGGAAAAATCTGTGTATCTTTTTTAAGTAAAATGTGATATTCCTTTCGTGGTGTATACTCCACAGGGCCAGGGAAACATTAGCAAATGTCAGTTTTATGTACCGTCGGTTCTTCAAATCATCAAAAGGCTTTTTCATCCTACTCAATCGAAGAACATCTAATTCACAATGTTGCATTTTTGCATCTTGTCTATATAGATTTGTTCCTTTGACTGTATAACGGGATACTCCAAGCCAGTCATATTGACGCAGATGGCTACCTTTTTTTTTTATTATAATTTGGAAGTTTAACAAAGAAATTGAACGGATACAGTGGGTTTTGAACCTGGGACCTCCGTGTTGCTGTTACGATGCTCTACCAACTGAGCTCATCAGACATCATAAGCATTCTGCCCTTGGGCAGGTTCTTTCATGGAATTGTTGATCGCCACTTCACTCTATCCTGCAGCCAGGGCCAACTTCTTCACGCGGCTACTGGAAGCTTCTTCAGCTTTTAGTTCATCTAGCACAGATATTCGTTTCCTGCCCCTTGGTCTTTTCCTTCAAAACTTCCTTCTGTTTACCTCTCTCGTCAATTCCTTTCCAAGCCAAGTATGCCCCGTCCATGTCTTTCTGTCTTTTCTTGAGGCACCTGTCTTACTTGTTGTAGAGTTTCTTCATTGCTCCTACATTCCCTCCAGCTTTTAACATCCATCTCCAGGTTCACATCTCGAAGCTTTCTAGTACATGTAGTTTCTTCTCAGCATGTTCTCATGGTCCAACTGAGCTATCCAGTCCTATAATTGCATAATCAGTTGGTCATCCGACTTTGAAAGTAGAAATCAAAACGCTTGTTCCTTTTGATGGCAGTGAGGTAGTCATGTCTGGTTCTGATCTCAACACCACTTGTCCTATAGTCACTTCACGTACGTGCAGTGGCGTAGCCACGGGGGGGGGCCGTGGGGGCGACAGCCCCCCCCCCCCATGAAACCTTGGTCCCCCCCCCCAGTCGCCCCCCCCCCCCCACTGAGATTTTGAGTTTCTAAAAAAAATTATCATTGATCTACATGATGCCCCCCCATGGAATGTTCCAGCCCCCCCCCCCCCCCAGCGCCCCCCCCCCCCCCGGCCCCTACTGAAACATTCCTGGCTACGCCACTGCGTACGTGTGTCAGCAAACGTTTCTACGTTTCCCCCCACTTGGCAAATCCTCAAATCTTTACAACCATGGACTTGCACTGAGAATGGATGCAAACAACTGTTTTACCTTTCCTTTCTTTGTAATGCATTTTGTTCTTGGAAATGTCCTAATTGTATATCATGCAAGACGCGTATTCATTGAGAAACGCATGGGAAACTCAGTGCGTATAGCAAAATTAAGTACGACAGGTAAACATCAACTGTGAACCAGCCTTTAATATATCGCACTACACTTTGGCAAGTAACCTGAAGCATATGTTTTCTGTGACTGGGTAATGTCTGTACTTAAAGCAGTTCTGGTTTTCCTTTAGTTTGGACTTTCCTGCATTGAGCAAATTTGCATTTGACATGAAAAGACATTCATCT